TCGCAAACGGATCCGTTTGGTCATGATTCGCAATCGGATCGGATACGGAGCTCGCAAACGGACAGGATACGGATCAATCCGAATAATGTACTGCTATTTACTGAAAACGGTTCGCGTGCGGTCCGTATGCGGTTCCTAATTCAACCGCGCGCGAACGCGAAGCGTCCGTAACGGACCCGTTCGCATTTTACCTGTGAATTCCTGTGAATGATATCAAAAAACGACTAACTGAAAAAATGTTTCTAATTTTATAATGAACATATTTTTAGTTGGCCAATTTTATGTAACTTTTACGGAAATTGAGATAGGATAGCTCATTTTTGATTGTTTGCGTGGGTTTCTTTTTGAGGAAATAAGGTATCTAAATGGTTCCAGAGCCATATCTGCTTTTTTCAAACTATTGGCTTGATTTATGTTCACAAGATCCGTATCTTCTCATAAATTAGCTTTCACTCTCCAGCATTTCTCGTGTCTTCATGAAGATTCTTGTCTGCACAACAACAAAAACCCTAAATAGAATTGGCTCGAGATACCCGTCAAAAAAAGCTCGTTCATCTTGAAAAACTACGTTCACGAGCCATCTACGAATCGAGATAAGTATTCAAAATGCTCTTCTATATCTTCTCCAAATCGCTCCTTCTCCTTCAAACTTTCGTCGCCATAAGTGGACTCTATTGAAGCATCACGACGTCGTCTAGATTGAATTACACGATGGGCTCCGTCTTCCGGCGCTCCTCCAGAGCCAAGAAGGTCCTCCTCCCACTTCTACTTTTCGTTTTCTAAAAACTTATTTTTGTATGCTTATTCCAAACTTCTATACCTTTTCATTCATTTTCTTTCAATTCGTCGGCTTTTTGTTCAGACACTTACAATTGCAGATTCGAGTGCATAATAAAGAGAAACAAGAAGAGGGAAACCGAAAGCAACTGAATTCAAAATGCGCTTTCTGAATGAACGTCGTGCTCCTCGACACACTGGTAATTACTTCAAGGTAGGTGAGCCCCTTTTGCTCATTACGTAGCAAAAGAAGGCGGCAGGAAGCGGAGCCAAATGCCCTGAATGTAGCACTTTCATTTTCGCATGGCTACACACCTATGGACACACATTCCTTACTTTTTGGACAAAATATTATTTCTTTTTTACAATGGTTTTTTGTTAAGTCACAATTATTGTTCAACGGAAACGAAATAGCTTTCGCGAATACGATGTGAGATATCAGGCATTTATTAAAACGCAATTTATTGAAAAGGGTATATCTTTTGACAGAATTATCTTGGAGGGACAAAAAATTGGTAGGAGTATAATTTTACGTCTGAATCAAAACTACTGCAATTTTCAAAGCGATTCTTCGTTATTGTTATGATTGTCTAAAGATTAACGGCGTATTGTTTCTTGCACGTCGTTGTGATTTTCATGAGATGTAGAAACGTTGACAAGCGATAACTCAGCTCAAGGGTGATCTAATTATTTAAAACTTGGTCAGTTTACTGATGGATTATTTGAATTTTGGCACTTCAAATTGGAGCTCAGTACAACGCTTTCTTCAAATTTTATGCTAGTACATACTTTATTCCGGGTAATTATGCACCACCCGGTATAGTATTCTAAACGCTTTTCAACCAAGAGAGTTAGAAAAACCTTCTGCTTTTCTTTTCAGATTTCTTTCAAATCTAGCATAATTCCAGTGGTAACCCACTTGAAAACCCAATCATGCTCATAATCGGATTGACACTAAATTTATATAATTTTCCTCGCCACCCGATCTAAAGTGATTGTGCAGTCTGAAGTTTCTTTCATTCAACACAACTTGGTGATTTTATTTTGATTTTTTCAAGTTCAAGTTTCTGAATTTAATTAGAATCTGTTGCTCTGCAAATTCACTGTAAATTATTGGCAAACATACACATTTTCTAATAATAAGGAACTCAGTATTCAGCCTATGAAACTTAGAATTCTAGCAGATATTTTTATTCAATTTGAAAAGCCAACAAAAACCAATCCATAAAATGCTCCGAAGTCCTTATAGTACAGTATGATGGTTCATACTAATCGTGAGATTCTTTTTAATTATGCCTTTTTCTCACTTCGTATTTCTTTTTCGAAAGTCGGGATTCTGAAATTTGATCCTTCTTCTCATTATTTTTCCTCTCAAGTTGTTGTTTGACCTTCTCCTAGAATCCTACAAAATTTGGAGTCAATGCAAAGTTCTCAACTACAAAACAACTCGATTTCCGGAAAAGAACACCGGAAATTGGGAATCCACTTGTTCTAATCAATTTGCCATCTCTATTGTGTCCATTTTCCCTCATTATCATGCCCTCAATCGACAACAAAAACAACTGAAAAAAACGGCTTTAGTTGTATTTCTCTGTCTCCAGAGTCAAAATAACAAAAGGGACTTATTGTTAGTGGTGGTGTTCCAACATGAATACGGGATTCTAACTGCAGTTTTGATGTGCGTTGTCTTTTCCTCTCCTTGCCCCTGTTCCTCATTTCCAATCTCCCGTGTTTATGGACTCGCGACATTTTAGCACATGCTGCTCAAGAAAGATTTATGTGCCGCAGTGCCCTGTGGACTCCGCCCGTCTTCGTCGCAATTCAATAGAGTTGCTTCTTCTTCTTCTTCTACTACTCTTCTTTCTTTTTCTTTTTCATCTTTTTTCTTCGTGTTTCTCACCGCGTCTTCTTCTTCTTCTTGTCCCAACGTCGCCGCGGAAATGATCTAGAAGTTCGCAGCTGAAAGCACTCCCCGGGGAGATCCGATTACCGAAGAATGCCTTTTTATTCGACCAATACATCTCTATATTTATTTGTGTTTGTGCTTTTGCTGACTCTGTTGAATTTTGGATCTCCCAGTCTCCCCTTTTTTTATTCATTTTTTTGGTGTAGTTTCGGAATTCCTAAAAAAAAGTTCAAAACAAGAAAAATGGGAGGATGTCGTTAATCCAAAAGGGCAGACGTCAATGAATAATACGAAAAAAAAGAAAAGAAAGCTCTGAATATTAGATATTTGGAAGACGGATGAGGAGAAGGATTTAGACTTTGAGATAGATTAGAAGGATGAAATTCTAGTGATCTCAGCTCTTATCATTCCCGATGGACACTCTGTCTTATTAATTTTTCTTAATTTCTTAAGAATAAAACAAACATGAAGGGTTATTTATAATATTCCCATTTTTTCAAAATCCTTTTTTATTGTTGTGGCTCTAAAAACAGTCACTTTTTGAATCCCCGCAAATACTTCTGCTAATTTTTAGAGCCATAATTCATCAGTAAACTGGCCAAGTTTTAAATTATTTGATCACATTTCATCTGAGTTATTTGTAGTCAAAGTTGCTTCATCTTTAAAAAATCACAATGGCGTGCAAAAATCACACCGTCCATCTTTGGACAATCATAGCTATACCTAGACTGGAGGAATCGATTTGAAACATCCAGTAACTTTGAATCGAACTCAAACTATATTTCTGACAGTTCTTGTGCTTCTAGGACACTTATTTCTGAAGATAGATCCGTTTTCACCAACCCGGGTAACTGTGCGCCACCTTGTAAGTCCCAACAAAAAATTAACCTGAGCAACTGTTCCCAATTTTATCATACCGGAACCTATTTTTTCAAAACATTTATGAAAATCGAAACATCTGTT